AGCTTTTAAAGGCCCTTTTCACTGCCTGGCTTCTCATGGAATTCCATGGGTCAGCTGTTCTCCCTTCCCAGCCCAACGGCACTTTAGGTGGATCACTTTGGGTACAACAATTTTAATTCTTGCTGGTTGTCAATCAACTATAATCGATCAAGGACTGTGAGTACTATTCAAAATCAGTTCCTTCAATTATTTTGTCAGCTTGTAATCAGCATTATTCCTTGGAGCCAGGGCAATCCCTGCATGCTCCTCTGCTGTTGCTGGAGCTGGAAGTGCAGCACGGGGCTTTCTGGATCCCTCCCGGGGCCACGTGGGCTGGAAGGGCCAGCAGGTCCCGCACGCACCGTCTGGGAAGGAGCAGGTTTGCAGGGAGGGAGGCTCTGACCCAATTTTCAGCGCTGGAAGCACGGAATGAGCGGTTTTAAATAATGCCACGCTGTCCCCAGCACAATGGCGTGGCCTCCAAAGGGCTAAACCAGCTCCGGTGATTAAAGCCTGATCCCTGCCTTGCGGGGCCGGGCAGATGGTGCCGCGGGCTGTCCCCGACCCTCCAGGCACACGCCTTTTGTCGGCAGTTTAACTCCTTCAATGGGCGACGTGGGAAATCCCGGGAGCTGCGGGCTCGCACCATCTGATGGGAACGGGGAACAGGGCACACACAGCAGCCCTCTGGGCTCCCCACATCCCAGGGAACGGGGAACCAGGCACACACAGCGACCCTCTGGGCTTCCCACATCCCAGCTTCCCCCTCTCTCTGTCCCTTGCAAAGGTACCACTAATCTTCCATCCCCCTGTGCCTGCCTCACCTACCCTCTGACGCTGCTGGTGGGTGAGAGGAATTCCCTGTTTGGTAAGACCTGAAAACTCAATGGCAATGATATTTCCCAATAATAATAAATAATAAACTGTCAGAATAACAAACTGTCCAGCCTTAGGCTGTCCCTACAGGATATTCCTTATGGGGCTGGGTGCAGTTGGCACTTCCTGCAAGGATTTCAGGAAGGAAGATTTATGCTGTGCTGCAGTCCAGTCGCTCTTTGTTCAAAGTCTGTAACCAGTTTGCTCAGTTTGGGCTTTTTTAAAAATTCTGCTCTTACAGCAACAATCTGTCCCACTGGAATGTGTTCGTGGTCCAAATCCCTGTCACTGTGCTCCATATCCTGGGAGGAGTTTGTGTCTCTTGCAGAGCCAGAAAGATGGACTGGCTGGGGCTGGCTCAGAAACAGGGTTTTCCCTGTTTGGGGAATGAAGGATTAAAAGAGACAAATCCCCAGGACTTCCCAACGTGGAGTTGACTAAGGAATGTGACACAATAATTCCCTTCTCTGGAGGGTGGTGTGAGGTCTGGAGCTGCTCCTGAGAGAGGACAGCAGTGCCCTGAGCCTGTGGTGGGGATCTGGGAGCCAGGGATTGCTGTGAGCTGAGGGACAACCACCCCAAAACTGTCCTCATAGGCATGGCAGTCCATAAATCAAAGCAGCTGGAGGTCCCCCAGCCTGAGGAACTGGTACTGGGCCTTTCTGCTCCTGGTTTGTAGGTGGTGATTTCAGCCCAGGTGTGGACTTGCTGCACACACTCTACACAAAACCTGCTCCTGGTTTAACACCAGTTGGCAGCTTCCTTAGCCCATCTGATCCATGGCTTTCTGTGGAGGCAAACCCAGCCTGTTGCAATGCAGCAACAGGTCTGGAGGGAGGTGAACTGTCAGGAAAGAGCACAGAAACCCAGAATTTCATTGTCTGTATTATGCAGATTTTAAAATCAGTGTCCTGTACCTCCACGGCTGTGCTTCCAGCTTGTACCAATTTCAGGGGATTTTTACTTTAGACCGTTTCCTACATTCATGTCACCCTGTCTCCCAGATGCTATTGACGGCGTTTTTAAAGAAATAATTACGATTTTTACGTGTTTTTTTTCCTCTGCCTTCCTTAAATGGTTTAAAATCTTTCTGACAGCCCCTCTCGAGACACCTATTTAGTGTCAAAGAGCATAACGTTCCCAAGTTTTAAAAGGGCCCTCGAATAATGCTGATCGATCAATGTGCTCCTTGGGAAAATAGCTCTCCAGATGGTCCATCGGGACAGGAATTGCTGGTCGGCACAATGCGGAGCCAAAGAGCGGCACTAATGCGGGCTGTTGTGAGGCACACGCTTCCTTTGTGCCCCTCTGAATGCCCCAAACGGGGAAGAAAGTGTGGGAAACTCCGAGAAACTCAGGCCCACACTCTGAGGTTAATAGGGGCTTTGTCAGGGGAGTATTCCTGAGCTGTGGGATCAGCATAATAAACAACATCTTCCCTAAGGGTGGGAATGTGTTGGAGCAGGGGAGGGTCGCCCCAGGGGACGGGGCGGGGGAGCGATAAGAAGCTTTGAGTTCAATTATGAGAAGTGATAATAATTAATAAATTGTAAACAGACCCTTTGCCGGGCTGGGGAAGCCGGAGGTCTGGCTTTTAGCTCGGGGGTAATTGGTAAATTAAAGCCCGGGGGGGCAAGTCTGTGGCTGATGAAAAGCAGAAGGGGAGCATTTGCCCCAGGGTGGATCTGAGTCCCTGGAGTAGAGGGACCTTTTCCAGCGGGGTTTGGTCCCTTCCCACTGCCCAGGAGGAGGCTCTTGCTGTTCCTCTCCCCTCTCTCCACCGTGGTTTAAGGCACTGCAGCGGTGCTGCCACGGGGACACTCACACATGGGGTGTTTGTGTGGAATCCCATCCCCAGGAGGGCAGCGGCCTCTCCGTGCCACGTGTGACCCTATTCCCAGTGGGGCACACTCGGGATGTGATGGGCTTTGGGGCACATGGCATCCCAGCTGAGCCTGAACTCCCCCAAACTGCCCTAATTAGGCTTGATTTAAAAACCCCCAGGCATGGACAACAGCTGGAGTTTTGCTGGGATTCAGAAGCTTGTACTAATTGACAGCGACAAGTTGAGCACAGTGAGGCAAAGTGACTTCTTCAAGCTCGCTAAGCAACCACATAATCTAAAAATATCTCTTCTGAATTACTTAGCACTTCATTAGGAAGAAGAAACTACCTGCAGCATTGGTAGAGACCTGTTCCAAAGCCTACCTTGCACTGTGTTGGCAGAGAGGTGAGGAGCACCCGACCAGCTTGTGCTTTCGGGGCAAAGGAGTAACCAAAATGATCCCTGAGCTGTAATGAGGCAGAGCAGCATGTTCCTGACCCAGCTGTCTGGCTTTTTGGGGGGCTTTCTGTGTGGATAAGAGAGGGTTTCATCACAAGCCAAGCAAGGACTGGCCAGGCACAGCCAGCAGTGTTGGGATGTGTTTGGTTGTGTCACCTCGGTGGATCTGAGGCTGCTCCCGGCTTAACTGAGCAGCTTTGACAAGATCATGTGTTCAGTGTTTCCTTTTATTTAGGAAAAAACCCTTACTCTAGAGATGAAGCTTTTCAAGGGCACCTCTCGCAGGGAATCTGAGGAGAGCTGAATTGTTGAGCAGTGGAGTTTCCTGCTGTTCCTGTATCTCTGTACAATGAGAAGGTTCCCTGTCATGTACCCAAATCTGTGTGTTCCTGTGGTTAGAGAATAGCTTTGTGAACTGATTATTTGTGCAGATTTGTTCTACTTTGAAGAGAAGGGAAAATAAAAGGAAATAACTTAGCAGAGGAAATGCTTTTCAGTCTCTGCTGTCTAATTATGGAGACTTCCAGCCACATGTGGGCACATTTCACTTCAGTAAAGGAAGCAATTCTGTTATTGCCTAGCAGAATGTGTGTCATGAAATTAAAAGACAACACAAACTAGTTCACCCCAGTGCAGGTGGTTCAAAGAGGACAAGATCCCCAAGCAGAGGCAAGTGCCAAACTCTTTGGAAGTTATTGGGAGACTTCCCTCAAGCTCCCTCACAAATGGGCAGAAAGCACAAGACTGAGCTCAGCTTGGTGGGCACATTAATGGGGGAAGTGAAGTGGCTGTGAAATTAGGGCTTTGTTTAAGGCTGAATGGGTTGCTGTTAAGTCTGAAAGGTTGACACCTCTCAGCACCTCACTTCAGCTTCACCTCCATTTTGATTTTTGATAATTTTCCCAGAGGTTGCTGCTTTACAGGATCTACAATCCTGCTCTGCCAAAGGAATAAAGTATGTCCTGGAGTGAAGGGCTCAGCACTGTGACACCTCCTGATGGCTTCCCCACTGCAGGAGAGTCTGCATGCACCCAGTCCAGCAGGACTGGCCATTTGAATCATTTCAAACCAAAGGATTAATGACTAAAACCATTTTTATTGTATTGTACAGTGAAGACACACAAGTTGGACATCACACAGGATGAATACATCATAACTTTATAAAAGCTTTTTAAGCTCCTTAGCATGTTCAGTGAATGATTACAAAGTACTTATTACCTCCCTTCCTCCCCCTTCTCCTTAAGGTATAGCTCAGGTATTTTCCTTTACAAAAGGCATCAATTATCCCTCAACTGAGAGCAGCACAAAGTGACACGAAGAGAATTTTCCCCACAGCTGTCTGTGATCAGCACAACTCCGTGAGGACACTAAAAATAGCAGAGGAGCTTCAGAAGAATGAGCATTTCTTAATAACATTCTTTCACTCAAAAGGTAAAGGCTCAGTCCTCTCTTTATGATACAAAATACATTCTCCAAAGGGCTCCTTCTTGAGGAAGGTCAATCAATGGAGCACTTGAACCAGTGACCCGGGGAGTCAGCACAAGGATTCCCACTGCCAGCCACGGGCTCAGCAGCCTCTGATGGAACCTGAAGGGCATTTGCTCTCTGAGATCACCACAGAACTTGGTCCTGCCTTTGGCCAGGAGCCACCAATAAAAGCAACAAATGTGCTGCAAGATACACCCACAGTCCTTCACTATGAAGGGAAAACCACCCAGCGACCCTCATTTCTGGTGACAGAAAAACAATAACCACCCCCTCCCGCCTTTGGAAAGCAACGTTTCCTACTTTAAAGAGGAACTAATAAACCACAGGTCCCTCTAGTTTTTGTAGCAAAACACGGGAACAGAGTTCAGCAGGTCTACCAGGGCCTCCAGATGGTGGGAGCAGCAGGCAGGCTCTTCTGGGCAGGCTGTTTTCTGGGGAGCACACAGGGAGACAGGGAGGAGCTGCGCAGGGCCAGGGAGTACGAGGTGTCTGAGCCCAGCTGGGCTTTGCAGAAGTGCTTGATAAGCTGGACCTGGGTCTCCTTCTTGGGCTCGTAGTAGGACAGAAAGTGCATGGCCTCCTTGAGGCACCGCAGGTACCCACTGTTAAAGTCCTGCTCGGGGCTCTTGGGGGCGAATGCTGGAAGAGAAGGAAAGAAGGACATGCAGTGGGTTAAGGTCGTGACCAAAACATGGGACAGTGGTGATTTGAGCAGTGAATTTCTTTCAGGAGTGCCCGAGCCTTGCTCGTGTGCCTGGGGCTGGGGTGTCCCAGCCCTGGGGAGCAGGGTCAGGCCTGGGGTACCTGCTCTGCACTCACTTTGCTCCTGCAGCTGGCTCTGCTGCTTCAGGTAGCTCACAGCCACCTCCAGGATGTCGGCTTTCTCCAGCTTGGAGTTGGGCTGGTGCCTCTGGAACTCCTTCTCCAGGAGCAGTTTCAGCTGCTCGATGCTGCTGTTAATCCGGTCCCGGCGCATTTTCTCCACCACTGGCTTCCTCAGCTGGGAGAGAGGGAGCACATCCTTAGGGATTCTGTGAGACCTGACCCGATTTCCCCCCAGTGCCCTGACACAGGTGTTCAAAGATGCTTTCATCTGGTGGAAGAGCTGTGAGATGCTGCCTACCCATTCCCTACTCCATTTAATTTTTAAAAATAATTATAATCTCCTTTATCTCTCTTTAACCTATTTGCCTTCCCCCAGACCACTTTCTCCCTCCTATCCCACCTTTTCTCACGTCATATTTACTTGCCAGGGGCAAGCCAGCCTTTCCAGTCCTCTCAAGGGCTCCACTTACTTTATTCTTTTCCTTTGGCAGCAGCTTCTCCTCCACGTGGATCATGAGGGTGTTGCTGGGAGCCATCCCGGGCGCTCTCAGCTGGGCACAGACCCCGCTCAGCTGCTGTGCCGAGCACGAGGCGATGCTTTGGCAGCTCCCGAGTGTCTGTATTTATAGCCGGGCAGCCGGGGCAGAGACGTGAGTGTGGGGATCGCCGGTGTTTCCCACAGCCCCGCAGCCAATCCCGGCGGGCAGCGGGACAATAGGGGAAGCATCCATCCATTAGTGCACGGTCCATCGGCTGCCAATGCCCCGGGGGGAATAACCTTCTGCCCACGCTGCTGGTGGAGTGTGCGGGCGTGGGGGAGCTGGGAAAGCACCGACCCTCCAGCTGGTTGTCTGGGATCAATGGCATTCCCGAGGGAATGGAGGAGGCACGCTTTTGGGGCAAGGCGGGAAAAAGGCCACGAGGAGCCCCGGTAGGGATAAAAATCAACATCACCAAGGACATCCCTGCCCTCCCCAGCCGGAGTGTGTGTGGGAGGTGTGTCCATACAGCCACTGCACGTCAGTGGGTGACCCAAAGTGTGACCAGTGTGGAGCCCCGGGTTTGTTTGCAGCACATTTTTAATGCTGCGGAGAAGTGACAGTCAGGGCGGAGGGGTGTTGGATGGATGGGGTGAATAACTAGGGAATGGGAAGCAGTGGGAATAGTAACCTCAGTTTTGCTCTTCCCCTTTGCTCTGTGAGTGTTCCCAGTGCCCCCAGTAAGGAAGGCCACCTCTCCCAGCAGAGCTGGGCCATGCCCAGTCACCCCGTAGCTCTTGCTTTTCCCTTTCCTCCTCTCTCTCTTTCATGCAGACATTTATAGGGATGATGGTTAAATGGGCTGAGGAACAGCACCAGATTCAACCTGGAATCCTGGGAAGTCTTGGGAAACCAGGGGTGTGTCATGAATGGGATTTAGGAGCTGAGGCCCATCTTTGGCCCTCAGCAAGGAGGTCAGTTGTGCTTCTTGCCTGAGGTTCCTGGTGTGCTCTGTTCTGCCCTTGGACCTGCTGCAGTGCTGAATATCAGATCTCAGAGACCAGTCTCTGCCTCCCTGTGTAAACCTTACTGTGTCATTCCCACTCCATTTTCTAACGTGGAAAATGGGAACAGAGCTGCTTGCTTGCATTGGCATGGAGATGTCGGCATGAATTAAGCAAACATTTCTTTTGTGACAAAGGCAAGGGGAAGAATGAAGAATGAGGGCACTGGAGGTCAGTTCTGATTTTGCCTTATGAGAAAAATCTCTGCCTGGATACAGTCCTTGAGGCAGCACTGAAAATAACCCAGAACCTACCTGGGAAAAGCTGTGCTGCACCTGCCATCTGTGGGTCCAGCCCCAGGCAGAGGCGTGTGCTCCTCCTGCTCCTCCTGCTCCTCCTGCTCCTCCTGCTCCCAGCACTCCCCTGTGCACGGAGCGTGGCCGAGCATCTGGGCACGGAAAGGGAGCAGGGAAGTGTGCAGGGAGGTGAGAAAGCCGAAGAGTTTCTTGCTTGGAAATCCTGAAGTGAAGCCCGGGGGTAATGGGCAGTTGACAGGAAGGAGGGAGGTGTCACTGGAAGAGCCAGGGATTCATTGTGCTGACCTGAATGGGCTCAGCGCTTTGTGAAGGGCAGATGTTGTCCTTGGAGCCCTTTATTCCCTGTGTTGTGGGAAAGCCAGGAGACAAGACATCTCATGAACACTTTGAAGCAGCCAAAGGATTATGATACAAAATAAGACACAGCTCAGAGACCATGGCCCAGCTCCTGGCAGCTCTAATGAGGTGTTGCCTGTTTTCCTGTGCTCTTTGGCTGGCCCTCCTCCAGGAGCTGGTATCCCATGTTATCCTTCTCCTAGCAAGGCAGAAATGATGGCCTTGCAGCCAGGAGCTGACAGGTAGGCATGGACCAAGCTGGTTGAAGAGACTCTTCAGTGTCCAAACCCATCTTTTTCCCAACTCCTGAGAAGCAGCCCTGACCTTTATTGCTGTGTTAGAACTGATAGCCAGATGGTCTTTTGGGAGTTGGATTCTTTCCCTTTAAATCATTCAGGCTCAAGCACCGTCACTAATGTCGGGAGTAGTTGCAAGGCACACTTCTATTGTCCCAGCAAGAAGTGTTATCAATGGGGGAAGAGTATGGGAAAGGCAGAGAAATCCAAACCCACACAGCCTGGCGCTAATGACTCCTTTGTGGAGCTGCTGCTGTCGGGGCACCATGAACTCCGTGGCTTTTTCACCCAGGAAGGCTGAAACGCGCCTGTTTCTCCATCCAGGGGCTTCTCCAAGCTCTGTGTGTACCAGGAGAAAGGGATGGCAAGGGGCAAGGGGCAGGGACAGTGGGTCACACAGGAACGCTGAGCTGAGCTGCAGCACGAGCTGTCCCAGGGCTGCTGGTTTGCTCCACTGTCCCTCAGTTTGCTCTCCTGGGACACGGGAGAACTTTTCCACAGAGCCCTGTTGGAATTGGGAGCTGCCCTGTGTCTGTGGTGGGAGGCAGAGACAGGGGTGAATGGCCCTTGTGCTTTTCTGGCATCACCTGGGGACAGTGCTGGGCACCTCTGGGAACGAAGAGGAGGAGCAGGGCTGGGCTCTGGAAGTGCTCAGGTGGCCCCTGCTCCCTGTCTTGCAGAGTTTCTTTTCTCCCCTCCATTGCTGGGAAGGCTCGTTCCCCCAGGGAAATGGAAAGGTTGTTAGGATCAAGCCAGCTCTGATCTCACTTGAAGGGTAATGTGCTGGTGGCAGCAGCACTGAGGGGGAAGAGCAGCAATGAAAACACCTGCCAGGGTCCCAGGCACACACACCTGAGTGGGAATTGTTATCTTTGAATGCCTAAAGAACTATTGGGTCTGTATGTCACTGCTGGGTGGACCTGTCCTAATGTTTAAGACTCCTGGATTTCAGCAGCACAAATCCCTGCAGTATTACCACATCCCTTCATCATCCTCATGCCCTTCCAACTGGCTCTGTGGAGATTCTTGGCTAAGGTGTGAAAAAACAGGGCTCTGCCTATTTGAGTGACCCCTAATGATCCTCTGAGAGTTTTTAATTTAGGGGCCAGTGCTTCCTTTGGTGCCTGAGATGAAGATCCCTTTCCAGCCCCCCTGTGTGCCCAACCCTGCCTCCCATGGTCTGCTCAGGGTCCTTCGGTGACGTGACATTCTACACACTGAATAGTTTAAAAATTGTTTGCCTGGAAGGCAACATATAAAGAAATTATCATGTAAAACTTGCTATTCAGGATTGGCTTCTGTTCCCACAAGACAAGCATAACTCTGTGTGTGAACCGACAGAGTGGGAGTGCAGGGAAATCTGCCCTTCCAGGGGAAAAGGTTATGTTGTTATTGCACCCATTGTGTAAAATATTCCATTAAATGTCATTAGCATGGCATTATCTTGCCTCCTTTAGACATCAGAACCCCCTCAAAAAGGGGTCTTAATACTGTAAAGTACATTCTTCACAGGTTTAACCTTTTTTAATTAGTTTTTCTTCAGATCCAGAATATTTAATATGCTGCCGTTCCCAGGTGCATGGGTGAGGGAAAGAGGACTTTGATCATTAAGAGACATCTGAGACAATTTGATCTGCATTTTTAGGGTTGTTAGAGGTAAAAGCTATTTCTATAGCTGCTTGTGTGGTGACCCCCAAACAGTCATGCACCAATGACATAGTCCTTCTACAGTGAGCATCACAAATAATTAAAAATTAAGGAGAATTTATTATTTTTCTGCCCAGCTGAAATTCCCACAAGTCACCTCTCGGCACATTCAAGAGTGCACAAGAGGGATTTATTATTTCCTGGTATATTGACTCTGAAAGGTCTGGGGATTACAGCTGCTTTGCACATGAATGGCTGGAGTGTGTTGTACAAAAGGCATGGTCTGTGGGATAATGGGGTTGGATGTGGGAAAGCGCTGACCCTGGGGGAGAGCAGGCTGGTGCCTGATGGCAGGAATCAATTATGGCTCAAAGGAACACATTGCCCCGGGAGCAGGCTTGGCGGGAGCCACCATGTTCGGGGTTTACCACCCTCCTCCTCCGGACCCGGATAAAACAACCGCGGGGTACATCCTGCCCTCCTGCCCGGCCCCGGGGGCTGAGCTGCTGATGGCTTTGGGAATGGCATCATTCCCCACCTCAGGAGCGGGGCTGGCACCCGGCAGGGATCTCACACGTGCTGCCAGATGGGTCTGGGGTTTCTCTCAAGCACCTCAGATCCCGAACTGACCGGGAGCACACGCTGCCCAAAGTGCCCCGGAATCCCCCATCAGTCCCCTCCTGTGCCCTGGCCAGGGAGGGATCAGCCTGTCCCTGACAATGCCGTGCAGGGAGCAAACAGAAGCCGCTGGGTTCGTGCACTTCCCGCATTGTTTTGGGCGGGATTTTTGGAAGACGGTGGCATTCAGCTCTTACAATGGGCTCTGCATCTCCGGGTGTCTGGCACTGCTGCCAGCCTTTCAAATGTCAAATCTGGGCTTTGAGGAACCAAGAAATGGGCTGAGTGTCATAGGAATTTAACAAAAACATTTGATGTTTCTAATAAAAATAAAAGGATTTTGATGGGAGAGGGTTTACTCACATTTTGATTATTTTATTGAGTATTTAGGCTTTGGACCGACATTGTTAATTTTTGGTCTTTATAGAATTATGAGGCTTGGATGTGAAGTCCTGCTGAAGGCCATAAGTATTTTGAGCCTCCTGATAAAAGTCACAAGACTGAGCAAACGGTGCTGCCAAGCTTTTGGCAAGGAGCAGGTATCCTGCAGGGAGGATATTTCAGCGGAGCAGGTTGAGAACCAGGAATGTGGCTCCTGAGGTCTGGCCCCAGCAACCACTTGCTGTCACTGACAGGATGGGAATGGTGTGTCCGTGCCAGAGGGGAAGGCAGCACCTCTCCCCATGCAGGAGCAGCAATTAATCCCATCTGCATGGGGTAGATATTTTAATCACTCAGACTCCAGCCGGGGCAGCGTTTGGGTGGGGGAGATAACAGGCACAGGCTTCTTGGGTGTCCCCTGAGCCCCTCTGATTGTCCCTGACTGAGGTTTGTGACCT